GCAAGCACATTAGCTACAGCAAAGTGGACCTGAGGCAGGGACAGCACACCTGAGGGACAGGAATCACGAGGCACACTCGTGTTTTTCGGGCTGCGACCAGCAGGCGGCGAGAAGGCAGTCTGAAGGTCCAGGTAGGGAGGGGCAAGATGCGGCATTTCGCATGCACCAACATTCGGGTATACCCCTGAGCCGACGTTGGAGCTGGCAGTCATCCATAACCAAGGCACATGGGCAGCAGCGGCGAGCAATACTGACCACGGTTGAAAGTCTGCGTCTACGGTCGGCAACAGTCCCATAGAGGCAAGCCGTGCAATGGTATCTGCAAGCTCATTTAACGGGTGGGCGTTGTGTCCCAGGATGTGCTTCCAGGTAAGCGTCGTAAACTGACGTAGCAACTTCAAGGCACCGTCGAAAAGCCACGTAAAGTCCCCACATGACGCATACTTGGTCCCACCTGCCGCCGTCGACACCACAAGCTGGTTGTCTGTGTACACCACAATGGGGCACTGGCAGAATCTATCGTCGGCTTGCAAAAACCATAGCACCAGCCACAGGCCTGCTTGAAACTCGGCGGCACCAGAGGGACTGGCAAGGGAGTTGGAGAGATCAGGGTCAATCCCACACAGGTAACCTTCACAGACATACCGCCCCGAGGTAGTAACTGTGAAAACACACCATGCCCAAGACGGTGGCCCTCCCAAGGATTGTTGGCGAGACCCTCCAGACCCATCGGTATAGATTTCCACCCGAGCGACCTGCTCATCCTCTGAGGGGAGGGAGGCTCCGTGGGTTTCAAAAAACGAACGCGTACTACTGTGAAGGTATGGGTGAAATAGACAGCGATCAGCCGTCCGGCACGGCCCGAGAAAGACGGGGGAGAGAGAAGCACTAGATTGCCAGGGCTGACGTAGGTGCCTGACAAGCTCACTGCAATCGGGAATGGGGCAGCGGGGCTGCTCAGGCTCGGACTCCATCCGAGCGCGGGGGCGCGGCGACGTGGCTGGCCGAGGGCCAGCAGCGGGCAGGCTGTGAGATGGCAGCACGCGCGGCTCAGGCATCTCACTCCCCGAAGCCTGCCCGGCGCGTCGCATCACCCCAGCTCCGACAGGTCAGATGAGTCGGATCCCTTGGCACCGCCAGCACGCGTATGCCGCGGGCTGCGGCTGCGACTGCGACGCTGACGACGTTCGGCAGCGGCGGCAGCATCAGGAGCCCCAGCCTCGTGAGCGAGCTCGGCGCGTCCAGCAGGCGCCGGCGGGGCCGCACCGCGGCCACGATGGCTCTCGACGCCCTCCTGCCTCGCGATGGCCTCGCGCAGCCCCTGCTGACCAGTCGGGCGGCGCGCACGCTCCGCATCGCGGCGGGCCCTCCGCGCCTCGGCGTCACGGGCCTTCTTCGCCTCCACCTCGTCAGCTGCATCCATCGCCGCCTCCGCGGCGTCGGCCCTGCGCGCACGCGGGCGCGCGCCTGCGGCCTGGCGCCCGCGCTGCGCGGGGGGCGGCTCGTCGGCAGCAGCGGCTGGCGGTCCCTGCCCAGGGCCAGCGGCGTCAGCTGCACCAGCGGGGGCCGCTGCGGGGGCCGCCGCAGGCTCGGCGGCAGGGGCTGCCGCAGGCGCCGCAGGCGGCGGCGCCGCCGCAGGCGTAGCCGCAGGCGCTGCAGGCTCGCCAGCGGGCGCCGCATCAGACCCAAGGCGCTGCGGCGGGCCAGCGAACGGGCGGACCTCCAGGGGGACAGCAGGCGGCGCCGCAGTGCCCTGGGCCCGCATTGCCGCCATCTCCGTCTGGACCGTCGTCAGCAAGCCCCTGAGCCCAGCGAGCGCCTGGCCGAGCTCCAGCTGCCCAGCCTGCAGCGCCGCGAGCGCCGCGATCGGCGGGGCCGTGTCGGGCGGGGTGCCTGGCATCGCTGGCGGCGTGCCTGCAGCGGGCGCGCCCATAGGCACGTCTCCGTCGGCAGCCTCGGGAGCAGCAGCAGGCGGCGGGCGCATGGCCTCCAGCTGCTCCAGCAGCGTCTTGGCCCTCTCCACGGCGGCCGACCTCTGCTGGACCTTGGCATCCGCCTCCTCCAGGGCGGCACGAGCCGCAGCGGCGGCGTCCTGAGCTTTCTCAAGCTTCTGCTGCGCTCTCTGGACAAACGACCGTTGCCTGTCACATCGCACGCCAGAGGGGCGAGCGATAATTATCACACACAGAGCTGCGCGGCATACTCCTCTTCCTGAGGGCGCATCTGCTCGGGCGACATGCCGAGGTCCTTCGCGGCCTGGAGGCGTTTGCCAGTGGCAGCGGCCATCTGGCGCAGCGAGCGGCGGTGAGCCCCAAGCTCACGCTCATCGCTCGGCGGCTCGACCCAGGCAGGGTGAGCCTTGGCGACCTCCGGCAGCGCGGGCAGAATGCCCAGGGCCGGGCTGTGCAGCTCGTCGTCGCCGCCGTCCGAGGTGTGCCCACCCTCGTTGGCAGCGCCGTCGTCGTCCTCGGCCTCCGCGAAGCGCACGCGGGAGGCCGACCTGGTCTGGCTGGAGCGCCTGCGGCGGCGCGAGCCCGAGGCACGGCGGTGGCGGTCGCGCGGCTGGCTGCGTCGATCGGCCGCCGCGCTGTCGTGGTCCGCCGCGCCGTGCTGCGGCCCGCTGGCGGGCAAGGGCATGCACGCGCGGCAGAGCAAGTCCGACGGGCCGTTGAGGCCTCCGCACGACGGGCACCACCATCCGGGCGGCGGCGGCGGCACGGCCCACGGGGGAATGCTGCCACTCTGCCTGCTGTGGCCGCCGCCCTTCCCACCACCGCCCGAACTGCCCTTGCCGCCGCCCTTGCCGCCCTGGCCGCCTTTGCCGCCGCCTCCAGCACGGCCTGCCATCGGCCCGGTGCTGTGGTGCGCGCGCAACCTCGCCGCGGCCGCGGCGACGCGCAGCAAGGTGCGCGACTGCGTGCGCCGCTCGCGAGCGCGCCTGTGCCAAGCGGGCTCGCGCACGCGCAGTCGGCGCCGCGCCCTGCGCGAAGCAGGCGACCGCGCCGTCGTGCGCCCGCCCACCCTGGGGGCGGCGCACGCCGCAGCACAGCAGCACGGCCGGCCCGCACACCACCAGCGAGAGGCGCGGGCGAGCGCGTATGGCCGCCGAGTCCCGCCAGGCTTCGCAGGCATCCTGGATACTTGCAACCCAAAAGCCTTGAGCCAAAATGGCTTGAGCCAAAATGGCTACGGAAGAAGAGGGAGGGAGGGAGGGAGGAGGAGAAGGAAGAAAGAGGAGGAAGGAGGAGTGAGGGAGGACGGGTGGAGGAAAGGAGGAGGCGGGGAGCTGGGAGACAAAGGGATGCCAGCACCGCCCATCCGAGACCTCTCTTGGGCGCGCGCTATGTCCAGAATTCCGAGGCGAAGTCAGCCGTGGACGACAGACGGGCAGCGGCATCGGTATCTTCTCCTCCTCGGAAAGAGGAGGAAGAGGAGGAGGAGGAGGAGGAGGAGGAGGAGGAAGAGGAGGAGAGGAGGAGGAGAGGAGGAGGAGGATAGGACCCCTGGTGACTGCATTGGAGCCTTCCTGGCCGTCTCTTTCTCACCTGTTCGAGGCCTTCAGGGGTATCCCCAAGAGGCCTCCGGGAGGCCTCCGCATATGAGTGAGTCTGAGGACGAGCGAGTTCACGTGCGAGGGACCTGAGTACGACTGAGCCTGTGTACCGAGTGCCCCCAAACAGCCCAGGATGGCACCAAAATGGCACAAGATAGCCCAAGACAGCTCAGCACGTCATCCAGCATGCATCCAAAAGGCCCCAAGAAGGGCCCAAGACGGATCCAAGTGGCCGTGGCGAATCCCAAGGACGCACCCAAGATGACAAAACCCTTCAACAATCTGTCGAATTTCAGAGTGTTGCGCCTTCTCTCGTCGTTTCGCGGCTGATGAACTTCTGGAGCCTGAAGATTCGAAGAAGAACAAACGCCATAAACATGAACTTTTGGCGCTCCGCGCGAATTTCTTGGATCCACGCTGGACCCCCTCCCTGGCGCGCGTAGCGCGAAAGAGGCGGCGCAGGAGGCGCCGCCGGGGGGGGGCGGATCCAAGAAATACGCGCGGACCGCCACAAGTTCATGTTTAGGGCGTTTTGTTCATCTTCTTCGAAAGATTGCTCCAAGATCGCCCAAGAGAGCGCCAAGAGGGCTCGAAGACAGCCCCATGCGTGCCCAAGAGCGGCCTCCCTAGGACGGCTCCGGGAGGCGAGAGGTCATGCTCCAGAGGGGCAGTGCTACTCGGCGCCGCCAATGTTTGTGGTCGATTCCCTCCAAAACGGCCAAAGAGGGATAACAAGCCCTCTCAGAAGGGCTCAAGAGAGCACCGAAGGCAACCAAAATGATAGCAAAAGCGCCTGAAGATGGCCCAACAACGTCTTCAAGAGGCTCACTCATCGAAAGATCCGCGACGCCATGACAATTTGACTCCTGGGCCTGCTCAGGCTGATCAAGAGCTCCGGTTTGACGGTCGCCCCCGCTTCGCTCCTATGCAAGCCACCACCGCTTCTCGCCTGACGATCGCTTCTAGATGGGCTGGTTAGGATACGCGGAGCGTCAACATTCAGCCTGGCTCAAATCGGGCGTTGGCAGAACTGGGTTTAGTGGAGCCTGGTTTAGCGATCTGTACCGGGGGCGCCCCACTAACCGGAACTGTCGTCACCCGAAAAAACACCAGCTATGGCAAACCTGGTTTAGCGATTCTGGCCAATTCAAAGGCTCCAGGGCCCTACCACCAATCGGGCCCCCTTACCTGGGGTCCTGGCTATACCCGATCAAACACGTAAAACAGGGCTAGAATCGGGATAAATCGCTTCAGAGCGTTCCGGAGCGCTCTCAGAGCGTTCTGGAACGCTCTGGAGCGGCCGCGGCGCCCAGTACATCCTCCTAACCCGCCGATTCTCAGAGATTTCGAGTTATCCCGATCCGATTTTGTCCCGATCTTCGCGTCGTTTTATACCTGGGGTCCTGGCCATACCCGATCAAACACGTCTGGGCGGTTGGGGCGGCACTGGCTCTTCCACTCGTCCTCGACCTTGCCCAGCGACAGCGCGACGACCTGGCGCTAGGGCGCGGCCAAACCCGCCTCCGCGCCTCCTCGTCGGCTGGCGCCTCTGCGTCCTCCCCCTCCTGCTCGCAGCCACGAGTGCCATCGAGGAGGGGCAGTTGCTGTGGGCCTCCCTCTCCTCCTCCTCCTCCTCCTCCTCCTCCTCCTCCTCCTCCTCCTCCTCCTCCTCCTCCTCCTCCTCCTCCTCCTGGAGCCGCGCACCTCCGCGCCTCCCTCTCCTGCTCGACTCTTGGCCACTCGACCGTGCCCCACCACTCGGGCTCTGGGCACTGCGCACCCGGCCGGAAGCGTCTGTGGCGTGCGGTCGCGCGCGTGAGCATCGAGAGCAGGCACTTGGCTCAGGTCGGGCATGTCCTCCTACAGGCGGAGCTTGGAAGAATAATGATAATCAGTCCAACAATCGTCAAGGATGGTCAGAAATACTAGAAACATCGTCCCCAGACTGCTTTCTGTTATTCTTTACTCATCCTGTAGAGGCACGTGCCCGACTTAACACTTGGGTGCAGCGTGCAACGCCAAGGCGCGCTGTGGCGGCGGGGATTGGACACATCAGCCTGTGTCTGTGACGTGGCCGGCTGGCCGTCTGCGCCTGCGACACCACGCTATACATGGGACCCAGCACCTTGGGCAGTAACTGATGGGCAAATGTTCCACCATCACTACCATGGGTAGGACGGGGGAGAAGGGAGGATCGGGAGTTCTTCCTCCTTCTCCTCCTCCTCCTGCTCTTCCTCCTCCTCCTCCTCATCATCAGCATCATCAGCATCATCAACAGCATCATCAGCATCAGCATCATCAGCTTCAGCATCAGCATCACATCAGCATCACCAGCAGCAGCATCATCACCATCATCATCACCATCATCATCATCATCATCATCATCATCAGCAGCATCAGCATCAGCATCAGCATCATCATCATCATCATCATCATCATCAGCATCATCATCATCATCATCATCATCAGCATCATCATCATCATCATCATCATCATCATCCCGCCCCTACTTGTTGTAGTGGTGGTGGGAAATCGTCCCCTCAGAAACGTCGAATCCTGCACCGAGTGGGTAATTAGGAGTGGTCGTAGTGGTAGTAGTGGCAGTGGTAGCAGTGATGGTAGTCGCAGTGGTGGTAGTGGCAGGGAAGAGGAGAAGGAGAAGGAGGAGACAGAGAAGGAGAGGGTGTTCCAGAAAAGCAAGAACTCACCTAAAAATGTTGGGAATGGGCGTGGGAAGCTGCAAAAGGGTAACGCGGGAAGGCACAGGCCACGAGACTGAAGGCCTCCAGGCACGGACCCTTGTACGTTGTACGGTTTGCGGATACCCTGCCCGCTCTGGCGGGCGCCCCCTGGAGGGGTGGCAGGGGTACGAAGCATTGTAAATAATATGGCTTGCGGATACCCTGCCCGCTCTGGCGGGCGCCCCCTGGAGAGGTGGAAGGGGTACGAAACATTGTAAATAGTATGGCTTGCGAATTCCCTGCCCGCTCTGGCGGGCCTCCCTGGACGGGTGGGAGGGGCACGAAACGTTTTAACTAGTATGGCTTGCGAATAACCTGCCCGCTCTGGCGGGGCCTCCCTGGACGGGTGGGAGGGGCACCACATCTTTCAACTAGCACTGCATGCGAATACCCTGCCCGCTCTGGAGTGGCCTCCCTGGACGGGTACGAAGTCTTGTGAAGAAAACACAATCTGCGAATACACCGAATAATTACCCTGCCCGCTCTGGCTGGTCCCCCCTGGAAGGGAGGAAGGGGCACGAACCCTTGTGAATTACGCAAGTTGAAAATAGCCTGCCCCCTCTGGCAGGCCCTCCGTGGAGGGGTGGGAGGGTCGGGAAACCTGGATAGTATGACCTGCGAGTGCCCTGCCCGCTCTGGCGGGGCCTCGCTGGAGGCGTGGGAAGGGGCACGAAACCTTGTACATATTACGGTTTGCGAATACCTTGCCCGCTCTGGCGTGGCATCCCTGGAGGGATGGGAGGGGCACGAGACATCGTAAATAATATGGTTTCCGGGTTCCCTGTTCGCCTGTAGTAGGTAGTAGTGGTCGCAGTGATACTAGCGCCAGTGGTAGCAGTGGTGGAAGTGGAAGCGGTAGTAGCAGGGAGAAGGAGAAGGAGAAGGGAACAAGGAGAAGCTGCACTTAGATCCATCGTGCTCTAGGAGAACGAGAAACGTTCTCAGGGTGTGGGAAAGACTGATGTTGATCCCCCCCCTACAGTCGGACCTAGACCAGAAGAACATCCTCCAGCCTTCGAGAAGATGAGACCCTCCGCCGGCCATAACACACAGGACATCCGACGAGGGTACCCTCCCCGGGATGCACACGAACATCCAGCAAGCACGAAGAACAGTTTAGGGCATCCTCCCCGAGCCGACATCGGTCCGACTGTGCTGGGCAGCGGCGGCGCGAGCCTCGGGGCGCATGCCCTCGCGGGCGGACAGGAAGCCCTGTCTGTCCGCGGTGCCGCGCGCGGCCGCGGCAGCGGGCGCCACGCCTGTCCAGCTCCCACCCCTCCTCCATCATCTCCTCCTCCCTCTCCCTCCTCTCCTGCCCCTCCTCCTCGTCCTCCACCTCTTACTTCATCTCCCTCCCCTCCCCTCTCCTCTCTCCTCACACCCTCCACCCCCCCTCCCCTCCCTCCCTCCCTCCTTTCCTCCTCCTCCTCCTCCTCCTACTACTACTACTACTACAACTGCTCCTCTCCTCTTCCTCCTGCTCATCCTGCCCTCCTTCTCCTTCTCCTGCTCTTCTTCCTCCTCATGCATCATCAGCAGCAGCACCAGCAGCATCATCAGCACCATCAGCATCAGTAGCATCATCAGCATCAGCATCATCATCAGCAGCAGCATCGCATCAGCACCATCAGCACCATCAGCATCATCATGGAATCCTCATGAGCAGCGGCCTTATCATCAGCATCAGTATCAGCATCATCAGCATCAGCATCATCATCATCATTATCATCATCATCATCATCAGCAGCATCAGCATCAGCATCAGCATCATCATCATCAGCAGCAGCATCATCATCGAAATCATCGAAAACATCATCATCATGACCATCAGCAGCAGCAGCATCGTCATCAGCATCAGCATCATCATTAGCAGCATCAGCATCAGCATGAGCATCAGCATCAGCAGCATCATCATCACCATCATCAGCATCATCATCGTCATTGACATCAGCATCATCAGCGTCATCCTCATCACAATCAAATACATCATCATTATCATCAGCATCATCAACAGCATCAGCAGCATCAGCGTCCGCATCGGCGTCAGCATCAGCATCATTATCATCATCATCATCATCCTCATCATCATCAGCACCATGATCATCATCAGCAGCAGCATCATCACAATCAGCAGCAGCATCACCACAATCAGCAGCATCGGCATCATCAGCATCATCAACATCATCAGCATCCTCATCATCAGCAGCAGCCGCATCAGCATCAGCATCATTAGCATCGTCATCCTCATCATCAGCAGCACCATGATCATCATCAGCACCAGCATCATCACAATCAGCAGCAGCATAACCACAATCAGCAGCATCGGCATCATCAGCATTATCAGCATCATCAGCATCCTCATCATCATCAGCAGCAGCATCAGCATCAGCATCAGCAGCATCAGCATCAGCATCAGCATTAGCATCAGCATCCTCGTCATCAGCATCATCAGCATCATCAGCATCATAATCAGTCATATCAGTATTATTCCTCCTCATCCTCCTCCTTCTCTTCCTCCTGGTCCTCCTCCTCCTCCTCCTTCTCTTCCTCCTGGTCCTCCTCCTCCTCTTCTTCCTCCTCCTCCGCCACCTCCTCCTCCTTCTCTTCCTCCTCATCCTCCTCCTCTTCCTCCTCCTCCGCCTTCTCTTCCTCATCATCCTCCTCCTCATCCTCCTCTCCTGACCATCCTCCTCCTCCTACTTCACACATCCTCCTCCTCTTCCTCCCCCTCTTTGTCCTCGTCTTCCTCCTCTTCCTCCTCCTTCTTGTATTGCCCCTCCTCCTCCTCATCCTTCTCTCCTCCTCCTCCTCCTCCTCCTCCTCCTCCTCCTCCTCCTCCTCTACCCCTTCTCTTCATAACTAATTCCTCCTTGTCGCACCCGTTGACGCGTCGGTCGGTGACCAGACGTTTCGCACGAGATCCCCTCAGCATTGATGGTCCTGAAAATTGGAAGTTGCAACAGTTTCAAGGATGGAGGGCGGGTGGTTTTCAAAATGCGGCTGCCGCCTCACCGCCGCGCAGATGTGTCTATAAGTTTGCAGGATTTCAAACAATGAGGGTGGCTCCATTTCAGAATGTGGTTCTCGCCTTAGCGCCGCGCACATTCGTGCTAAAGTGTGGAACCATTTCAAGGATGGAGGGCCGTTCCTTGTCAAAATGTGGCTTCCGCCTGACAGCCGCTCGTTGGTTGTAGTTCCTCAATCTTCGACAGGTTTTAGGATTCGTGTGGCTGTAGTCCCAGGACTGGTGTTGTGGCGAATCGGGGTCGAATGTGAGCAACAGTCGCGATGATTCGATGTGTGGAATGCCCAGGAGCAGGTGTTCTGGGGCGACTTAGGATGGTCAGGACGCAGCAGTCACGTTGATTCGAGGCGCTCAAGTCCAAGGAAAACGTTCTGGCACGATTGAAGATGCTCAAACGGCTGTCTTCCAATGGGGCACTTCCCGCCATGAAACCAAGATCTCGCAGGAACCTATGACGAGGAAAATTGGAGGGAGGGTTCACTGCAACATCGCTGATGCGTCCTAGGTTTGCACTGATCCTCCTCCTACTCCGCATTCCCTCCCCCCACTTCCCTCATTCCCTTGCTCCCCCCTCCTCCTCCTCGCCGTCGGGGACGCATTTACCCGGGTCAGTGCAAACCCAGGGCAGTCAGGCTTCGCAGGATCCTGCAACACCCTGCAGGATCCTGCAAGACCCTGCACGCAAGCCAGCGTCAATGCACCCCTGGCTCTGCAGGACCTTGCAAGATCCGGCGCTCTGGCTAACCCCCGTTTGCATTGACCTCCGCCTCAAGGCTCCCACCAACCCAGACCCGACGTCGCGTTTGTCTTACAACGTCGACCCCCTGAAATCTGGACCCCTTCCCCGGGGCCGCCGTTTTCACCCCGAGTGGTGGTTTGACGGCCCCGAGGCCCGCTCGGCAACGGCCCCTGGAGGCCGGAAAGAGCGAACAAAAAAAGCCGTGGCGATTTGTTCACAACGCGAGGGGGTAGTGGGGAATCCAGCAGATACCGATAACGCTGCTCCCCAGACCTCTCCCGGGGTGCGTTCTGACCAGAATTTCGAGGCGAAGCCAGCGGTGGCGACGAGCGCCTCCCAGGAGGCCCAAAAAGCGGGAAAACGGGGGAAGTGTAGCGGTATGGGTACCTTTGCCTCCTCTGAGGTCTGGGACTCGAGGCTCCCGACGCCGCCTCCCCCCTCCCTTTGGCGGCGAGCGAGGGGGGTAAGTGAGAAGGAGAAGGCCTTCTCAGAAGGCTCGGAAGTCCCCAAGCCTTCTGCGAAGCTTTCCAAGTCGTCCCCGAAGACAGATAAGTCCCGCCGCCTTCTGAGAAGACCTTCTCCTTCTCACTTCCCCCCCTCGCTCGCCGCCGATCCTGACTACCTACCAGACCACCCCAACCCAACCCGAAGACCCGAACTTGACCCGAATTTCGGGTTGGGGGGGGTACGGGTTCCACATGTGGTTTTTCACTGTTCCCCGACCCCCCCCCCCCACTGTAAGTGGAGGGCAAACTGAGGCCCTCGAGTTGGGCAGGGTATTGTCTGTTGGGTTCCATGTCCCAGAGCTATGTTGTCCCAATCGTACGTTAAGGGCCACCCAGAAATAATCTCGAGCACCCAGAAAAGTGTCGAACCAGTGCCGAGCGGGTATCGCCTCCCGGGGCCCGGCGCGTGAGAACCCTCCCGACTCGGCGCTTCCTTGGCGCTCGAGACTCTCCTTGGTGCAAGCGGCTAGAAAAAGCGGGCTGCAACGCCCCAAACATCCCCGGGGAGGAGGCCCCCCCCCACGGGGCCGCGGCCGCCCGCCCGCCCGCCCCCCCGCCGAGCAGCAGCAGCGAGGCGCGGAGGGCCGACATTGTGGGCGGGGCGAGGCGTCCGCGCGCGGCGCTGCGACGGGGCCCCCGGGGGGACGAGGCGCGCGGCGGGGCGCCAGAAGCGGCCGCGAAGGGGGGGGGACAGGAAGGAGGATGAACTGGAGAGGGAACGGGGAGGGAAGGTGGAAGGGAAGGAGGAGGAGGAGGAGGAGGAGGGGGAGGAGGAGGAGGAGGAGGAGGAGGAGGAGGAGGGGATGAGGAGGAGGGGGAAGGGGGGAGGGGGTAGCGGGAGGGGGGGGTGGGAAAGAGGAGGGGACAAGCTACGTGCGCTCGCTCATCCCTGGACGTTCTAACCCCTCCCTGCCCCACCCTTACATGCCGTACCATCTCTGTTCGCACAATCGGAAATGTCGTAAAACAGTGAAACTAACGAATGAAAGAGGAAGAATAGATATGTTAATAAAAGGTAACATAAAGCCATGGCATACATGGCATAGCATGGAAGATCAACGCGTAGCATGACATAGCGTGGCGTGGCGACGCCCCAAAGTGGGCGGGGTTCTGCGGCCCAGAAAATCAACGAATCGACACCGAAAGTGGAATCACTTCCGACGGTTTCTTCGGGAGGCCTTTTTCTAAATTTTAGGCCTATTTGGATGGACCGAAACCATGCCGTGGCATGGCAATAGAAATTATGACGCCAGCGCTGTCGCGGGAGCACGATTCGGAACGAGCGGAGGCGCGAAAATGAGGCCAGCGCCGCAGCGGGAGTACGATTCGGAACAAGCGGTGACATGAAAATGAGGCCAGCGCCTCAGCGAGAGCAGCATTTTGAAAAACAGCAAAAAAAACCGTTTCCTGGGAACTCTGTGTGAAAAACCGTACGCGGAGGGGGGCCGGCCATTTCCAGACGTCACCCGGCGAGAGAGAGGAGAGTAGTATTCATATTATGTAATTGTGGAGAGGGGAGGAGGGAGGCCTTGAGATCCTGGCGCAGCGACATTTTGTCACAGCGGGCGTCTTCGCTCCGTTTTGGGGCTGGCAGGACCCTCACATACCGACCCAGCTCGGATAGTGACGCAGACTCTTCTGCGACGCAGACAGCTGGGGCCCGGGCCTCAGGTCGTGAATGTATGCGATGTTGCAATTTTCTCGCAACGTCAAATCTCAGGGGAGAACCGGAAGAGGAGGAGAACAAGCAGGAGGAGGAGGACGAGGAAGAGGAGGAGGATGACGAGGAGGAGGAAGGAGGAGGCAATAGGCTCGCCGACGAGCGGGCGAAAAGGATAACTGGGCAGTGGCGCGTTGATGGCCAGCTTCGCGTTCGCTGTCGGAAGCTATGACAGCTTGTGTGCGCGTTGACGGAGCAGGTAGGCAGGACAGCCCTTCTTGCCGCACAGCTGAAGGCGGCGCGTGCGCATCGCAAACAGGCCAAGTCCGCTGCTGCTGCTGCTGCCGCCGCCGCCGCTCTCGCTTCAGCCGTGACAGCTCCCCCACTCCCCGTCGTGTCGTCGATGGGGGGTCACTCGTTGCGGAGATGGCTGAACGAGGCAGTCGGTATCGTGCATCGCGCGGTACCATGAGCACGCAGCATGTGCGGAGGAGGAGGAGGAGGAGGAGGAGGAGGAGGGAGAGGACGAGGGAGGAGGAGGACGAGGGAGGAGGAGGAGGAGGAGGAGGAGGAGGAGGAGGAGGAGGAGAACGGCGCCTAGCTTCTGGCAGCTTCCGGCTTCGCCACGCGGGCCCAATCCCCCGGGAGATGGGAGCGGGGGCGAGACTGCCGGCGGAAGACCCCTCTTGAGGTGTCTCGGCTGCGCGCGGGGGGAACTGAGGGCAGGAGGGCAGGGAGGGGGTTGCAGGAGGCAGCCCCTGAGCAGGGAAGGGAGGGGTCGCGGAGGCAACTCCTGGAGGCGACACCTGGAGGCAGCTCCCGGGAGCATAGAGGAACAATACATTTAGGTCGGGCGTGTCCTCCTAGAGGGGGATTTTGGGCGAAAAGCACGCCAGAATGTTCCAGAAATAATCGAAAAATCGTCCCCTGACTACTTTGAGACTATTTTTGAATTTCCCCCCTGTAGAGGGACAGGCCCGACTCAGCAATACATGGCATCATGAAGTATGAACCTGCGGAGGTCCGCGCGCATCTCTTGGATGCGCGCTGGACCCCCCCCCCTGGCGCGCGGAGCGCGCCACGGGTGGCGCCGGAGGCGCCGCCAGGGGGCCCCAGCGCCGATCCGAGACGTCCGCTCGGACCTTCGACAATGTATGCTTACGTCGTCTTCCGTTCCCTCGGGAGGTCGCCGCGGGGACGCTTGAGGAATATACTAAGCTTGAACAGAGGCTAGATGGAACATCACACGTTCTTATGGCTACCGGTGACACTGAAAACATAAGTAAAATACCACACGTTCTTACACACGATCTCATGGCTCCCGGTGCTTTTATGCCCACCGGTAGACATAAAAACGCGTGATGTTCAATCTGAGCCTGATGAAGCTCTGGGTCAACTAGCGCCTCCAGCGCCGACCGGTAACCATAAGCACGCGTGATGCTCCATCTGAGCTGGGTGAAGCTCTGGGTCGCCCAGCGCCTCCAGCGCCGACGTCGCAGTCGTCACCTCGAGGCGCCCGTCGCCGCCGCAGCCGTCGCCGCTGCCGCCGCCGCCGACGAGGTGGCCGCCCAGGGCCCAGGGCCGCCACCCGCTGACATCCGCCCTCACCTGGGGAGCTAAAAGGTACCCGGCCACGCGCAGAGGGGGGTAGGGGGAGGGGGGAAGGCCTCTTAGAAGCACCCCTGCTTCTTAGAAGGCGCGGGCCTTGTCTGTAGACGTGGGGCCAGCGCCTTCTAAGAAGCGGCCTGCTTCTAAGAAGCCTTCCCCCCTCCCCCCACCCCCTTGCGCACGCCGCCGAAGTACCGATACCGCACCGCCGGCATGCGCCCTCACCTGGGGAGAATAAGCGCCATGCCGCATTCAGCTGTGGGTCACCCAGCCTCGCGCCCCGCGCGCCCCGGGATGCGCGACGCGCGGTTGCATTCTAATTAACCCAACAAGGGGTCCAGCTACAAGGGGCTGGTGCAGTAGATCTGGTGCAATGGATTTGTGGGTCGCAGTAGATCTGGGGCGTCCGCGGAGCAAATGTACTGCTGGATTCTCGCGTGCAGCACAGTAAATGTAACACAATTCAATACAACCCTCCGGCGCAACACATTTACAATACAATCGCCCAAAATATATTGCACCACCCCCTTTCAGCTGGAGCCTCTTTCGGGTCACCCCAATATCGGAAATCCCGAAACCGTGTGGTGACAGACCCTGCGGCGACCGCGGAACCACAAGAGACCTCACCGCACACTTCCGCCACCGCACGGTCTTGGGACCCTGGAGAGAGAGAGAGAGAGAGAGAGAGAGAGAACCACCACTGCGGACAGTTGTCCGGGCCTGCTCGAGACCTGGTGGAGGAGGCCGTAGCCTCTTCAAACCTGCACGCCCCTGCCGCCCGAGACTCTCTCGGAGAGGGCCTCGAGCCCCAAAACCGTGCGGCGACCCCGAATCCCCACGGACTCACCACACCGTACGGCCACCGCACCGCTTGGGGGCCACCGACGGCAGATCTTCGTGCCCCCGCGCCGGCTCCCGGAGGGGGGCAGCTCTCTGGCCGAGGCCACGGCGCGCGCGAAGGGCGCCTGTCTGCGCGCCCCCTGTGGGCAGGAAGCAAGTCGGCAGGATGCCCAGCAACAATCGGCGGCGAGCGCGAAGGGGGGGAAGCGAGGAGGAGGAGGCCTTCTCCTCAGAAGGCGGCGGGACTTCTCGCAGAAGCCCTCGCGCCGTCCGGGAAGCAGAACCCTTCTTCGGAGCAAGACGGCTCAAGATGGCCTCTCCGACGGCCAAGATGTCTCGAGATGGCCTCCAAGATGTCTCCAAGATGCCTCCAAGACGGCCAAGATGGCCCCAAAAGACCCCAACATGGCCCCAAGATGCACCCAAGACGGCAAAAGATGGCCTGAAGATGGTATACGACGGCCCGAAAGGTCCGCACGAGGCCCCCAAGAGGCCTCCTAGACGGCTCAAGAGGAGGCCCCTTAAGAGGACCTCCAGGAAGGCCCGAAGAGGCCAAAATCATTGATTTCCCTTAGGTTTTCCACGATTTTAGCATGTGTTTTGGTTCGGCCTTGCGACGGCCAGAGACGGCCCAAGCGCCCCAAAAGATTCCCCCAAGATCGCCCAAGAGGCCTCCAAGATGGAACGGCCCAAGAGGCCCCCACGACAGCTCCAAGAGGGCCCCAAGACGGCCCATGAGGCCTCCAAGACGCCCAGGATGGCCTCCAAGACGGCCCTAGAGCACCCCAAGAAGGCCACAATTCGGCCCCAAGAAGCCCCCAAGACGGCTTCCGACGGCGTGAGACCAGCCAGGAACGCCCTGAGACGGGCAAAAAGGCCCCTGAGAACCCCCAAAGGCCCCCAAGAGACCCAAGGAGGCCCCCAAGATACCTCCAAAAGGCTCCCGGGCAGCTCCCAGGCTCCTCCTCCTCCTCCTCCTCCTCCTCCTCCTCCTCCTCCTCCTCCTCGAGATCTTCCCCGCCATCCTCCCCTCAGTGTTTCCCGAAGGGTTTCAACAACTGCTAGGGGAACACATGGTCCGATAGCTTGGCAGAGCTCTTGCCACAACGCTCGGCCACGTCGTCGATCCGCCGCCCCCTGTGGTCTTGCCACAATGGTGCCCGGCGTGCGAAGGTTCAGGAAATGTTTGGTTCGTTTGGAACTCCCCCTGGGGCTTCGGCACAGCGCGCCAGCCACCTGGAATGCCTGCCTGGAGATGGTTGGCAAGAATGTCTCCGCTCCAGATGGGTCCAAGATGGCCTCCAAGACGGCAAAGATGGCCTCCAAGCTTCCAAGTTCGCCCGACATGGTCCAAAATGGCCTCCAAGACGGCCCAAGAGGGAAAAAGATGTCTACAAGTCCGCCCAGGAAGCCTCCAAGACGGCCCAAGAGGCCCCCTCCAAGACGGCTCAAGAGGAGGCCTCCAGGAGGTCCACCAGCAGGGCCTGAAGAGACCAAAATGATCGGTCTCCCTGAGGCTTTTGAAGGATTTTGCCCTGTGTTTATTTTCGGCCTTCCGACGGCCCAAGACGGCCGGCCTAGGAAGCCCCCAAGATCGCTCCAAAATGGCCTCAAAGGCGTCCAAGATGACCCCTATGACGGCCCAAGAAGCCTCCAAGACGGCCCCAAGAGGCCTCAAGAGGGCCCCCAAGAGGCCTGAAAGGCCTCCAAGAGGCCCAAGGAGGCTTGCCAAAGGCATCCGAGAGGATCACAAGATGCTCCCAAAGGCCCCAAGAGTCCTCCTCCTCCTCCTCCTCCTCCTCCTGCTGCTTCTCCTCCTCCTCCTCCTCCTCCTCCTTCTCCTCCTACTGCTCCGCGTCCTCTTCCTCCTCCTTCTCCTTCTCCTTCTCCTCCTCCAACTCCTGCTCCTCCTCATCCGCCTCCTGCTCCTCCGCCTCCTCCGCCTCTTATTCCTCCTCCTCCTCCTCCTCCTTTCCCTCCTCCTCCTCCTCCTCCTCCTCTGAGTAATAGTGTCTCGCGACTCTTAGTATTAATAAGTAGCATGCTGATAAGCATTAGTGGCATTCGTATGCGTGTTAGTGGTATGGCCAATAACGTATTGATAGTATGAGTATGCGTGTTTTCATCAGAGGTCGTCTCAGTATAATCCGAGCTCGTAGCATTCTTAGCATAATGATTATGAGTATTGCTCTTATCATGATTAGTAAGATTAGTACTAGTTGACTTCATCGTACGGCTCTTCTTAGAATGCGTAACATGTTTATTGTCATGCGTATTAGTAAGAATGTGCCTCGAGCCTGTATTGTTTTGATATTAGTATCACTCCTCCTCCTCCTCCTCCTCCTCCTCCTCCTCCTCCTCCTCCTCCTCCTCTCCTCTATTGTTTATCCTCTCCTCCGCTTCTTCTTTCTTCCCCGTGTGTTTCCCGAAGGGTTTCCACAACGGCTGGGGGAACACATGGTCCGATAGCTTGGCAGATCTCTGACCAAAACGCCACACGGGCGATTCCAAAAGGCAGGGGGCGGCGGTGATTCGCCGTAGGCGTCTTCGATCCGCCGTCCCCTGTACTTGCCCTGAAGGTGCACGGCGTGCTGCTGGACTTTTGGAGTTTGGGGGTCTCCGCCCAACCCGCCGGCCACCCGAAGAGCTCCCACACTTCGGTCTCTGGTGGCCCCATCGGCTCCAAGACGGCCAAGACGGCCCAAGATGGCCTCCAACATGGACCCAAGACGCCTCCAAGACGGCCCAAAGGCCCCGAGCGAGCCAAAGATGGCCAAAATATGTCTCTAAGGCGACCAAAGTTGCACTCAAAACGGCCTAAGATGGCCTCAAGATGGCCCAAGACGGCCCAAGAAGCTCCCAAGAGGCCTAAAAGACGGCCCAATAGGCCTCCAAGAGGACCCACAGGAATGCCCGAATAGATCAAAATCCATGATTTTCCGTATTTGCCCTAAGATCGCCTCAAGATCGTCGCATGGGCCTCCAACATGTCCCCATGACGGACGGCCCAAGAAGCCTCCAAGACGGCCCCAAACGGGCCTCAAGACGGCCCAAGAGGCCTCCAAGACGTCCATGAGGGTCTCCAAGACGGCGCCCCCAGGAGGCCCCAAAAGTGCTTCAAGAGGCTCCCGAGAGGTCTCCTCCTCCTCCTCCTCCTCCTCCTCCTGCTCCTCCTCCTCCTACTCCCGGTTCCTCCGTCTCCGCATTCTCCTCTTTTCCCCACACTTGCTCTCCGAAGGGTTTCCACATCGATTGGGAGAACACGTCGTCCGATAGCTTGGCCG